AGAGAAATCGAACATTGTCGGTGTTTCTAAACAAAAACCCAACTGTGGGACACATGTATGTCTCACCGTTGAAATGTGCTTTGACAACAAATTGTGGTGAAGAGGCCATTGTGTAGAATTGTTTTAAGGTATGAAGGTTGGAATGTTTTAGGTTTATTGATTGTATGAAGGTATGAATGCTGGAATGTTTGAAGGTTAGATGACTGATTCGAAGGTTGGAAAATTTTACAGTTTATGTGAATGAATGTTATGTTCAACGTAAGGCAAAAAATTTCAATTAAGTAAGTGATGCAACCCCCCAAGGCTGCCAATAATATTACATGCATGGGCTTATGCAGCCACCTAGCCTGCCACCCATCAACTCCAATGGCCTTGCATGCAACAAAGAAAGGAATCCCAAAGGCTGTCACGTAGCCTGAGCCAATGCTGTAAAAAGTGACACCTCTTATTCGCCAAATGGGGTGGCGACACCATTAATTTTTGTACTCTTTCGCCAAGTGAGATGGCGCCTCCCTTACTGTCCAATCGTGATACATGCATGGGCTTATGCAGCCACCTAGCCTGCCACCTAACCTGGCCCTATTCTGCACACATAAATGTTTTGTGTAAGACTCCACCCATCAACTCCAATGGCCTTGCATGCAACAAAGAAAGGAATCCCAAAGGCTGTCACGTAGCCTGAGCCAATGCTGTAAAAAGTGACACCTCTTATTCGCCAAATGGGGTGGCGACACCATTAATTTTTGTACTCTTTTGCCAAGTGAGATGGCGCCTCCCTTACTGTCCAATCGTGATACATGCATGGGCTTATGCAGCCACCTAGCCTGCCACCTAACCTGGCCCTATTCTGCACACATAAATGTTTTATGTAAGACTCCACCCATCAACTCCAATGGCCTTGCATGCAACAAAGAAAGGAATCCCAAAGGCTGTCACGTAGCCTGAGCCAATGCTGTAAAAAGTGACACCTCTTATTCGCCAAATGGGGTGGCGACACCATTAATTTTTGTACTCTTTCGCCAAGTGAGATGGCGCCTCCCTTACTGTCCAATCGTGATACATGCATGGGCTTATGCAGCCACCTAGCCTGCCACCTAGCCTGGCCCTATTCTGCACACATAAATGTTTTGTGTAAGACTCCACCCATCAACTCCAATGGCCTTGCATGCAACAAAGAAAGGAATCCCAAAGGCTGTCACATAGCCTGAGCCAATGCTGTAAAAAGTGACACCTCTTATTCGCCAAATAGGGTGGCGACACCATTAATTTTTGTACTCTTTCGCCAAGTGAGATGGCGCCTCCCTTACTGTCCAATCGTGATACATGCATGGGCTTATGCAGCCACCTAGCCTGCCACCTAGCCTGGCCCTATTCTGCACACATAAATGTTTTGTGTAAGACTCCACCCATCAACTCCAATGGCCTTGCATGCAACAAAGAAAGGAATCCCAAAGGCTGTCACGTAGCCTGAGCCAATGTTGTATAAAGTGACACCTCTTATTCGCCAAATGGGGTGGCGACACCATTCATTTTTGTACTCTTTCGCCAAGTGAGATGGCGCCTCCCTTACTGTCCAATCGTGATACATGCATGGGCTTATGCAACCACCTAGCCTGCCACCTAGCCTGGCCCTATTCTGCACACATAAATGTTTTGTGTAAGACTCCACCCATCAACTCCAATGGCCTTGCATGCAACAAAGAAAGGAATCCCAAAGGCTGTCACGTAGCCTGAGCCAATGCTGTAAAAAGTGACACCTCTTATTCGCCAAATGGGGTGGCGACACCATTCATTTTTGTACTCTTTCGCCAAGTGAGATGGCGCCTCCCTTACTGTCCAATCGTGATACATGCATGGGCTTATGCAGCCACCTAGCCTGCCACCTAGCCTGGCCCTATTCTGCACACATAAATGTTTTGTGTAAGACTCCACCCATCAACTCCAATGGCCTTGCATGCAACAAAGAAAGGAATCCCAAAGGCTGTCACGTAGCCTGAGCCAATGCTGTAAAAAGTGACACCTCTTATTCGCCAAATGGGGTGGCGACACCATTCATTTTTGTACTCTTTCGCCAAGTGAGATGGCGCCTCCCTTACTGTCCAATCGTGATACATGCATGGGCTGCCACCTAGCCTGCAAGAGTGACACCTTACATTTTTTGTAAATGCATGCATGCATATGTGTAACACCCTAAGCATGCAAATGTGACACATCGCAGGCATGCAACCACTACATCAAACTTATTTGCCTATAAATACATACCTTATGAAACATCTCTTTCACCCACACAACTCTCACTCTCTGCTACGAAATATTTCTTAAGTCTATCATACTCTCTATTTCTTCCTAAGTCTTTCATTCTCTCAAGCATTCTGAACAATGGCTCTTCTAACAATGGGAGATACTCACAGAGGCACAAGGGAAAACATTGCTGCATTTGTAAGTCTCTTCTTTGGTTATACATTTTTCATACTTCAAATAACGTGTTGTTCATCTTAATTAATCTTACTCTTGTTTAATTATGATCTCAGGATACACAAAGATTCAGAATCCGTTCGCACAAATACCTGGCTCCCGACCCATTTATCGTCCCTTATCTGGAATATGCAGGTTTTGGACACGTGATAAAGATCTCCAACTGCACCATTGACTCAAAATTCATTCTTGCAATGTTGGAGAGGTGGAGACCGGAGACCCATACATTTCACCTACCAATAGGTGAATGTACCATCACTCTCAAAGATGTGTACATGCTACTGGGCCTCCCTATCGACAGTAAGGCGGTTAACGGGTCGGTTCAACAACCCAACTCACAGTGTGAAGAACTGTTGGGTAGGGACATGGTAGAAGGTGGTGGAGCAAGAGGGCAGGGAATACTACTCACTAACCTGAAACGGAATTATGCAAGTATGGAATTAAATGAAAATTCCTCAGAGAATGACCGAGTAGTAAAAGCCAGAACGTATATTATGATACTTTTTGGTACATTTTTATTTCCCGAAAGTACGGGAAATAGTGTAAATTTCATGTACTTATATTTACTAACAAATTTTGATAAAACTAGAAAATATAGTTGGGGTTCTGCAGTATTAGCCCACCTGTACAGTTTCTTGTGCAAAAACGCAGTAAAGGAAAAATGTACATTTTATGGGTGCGCATTTTTACTACAAGCCTGGGGTTGGTGGAGGATGGAGTCCTTAAACCCCATCAACAACAACACTTTTGGTTTCCCGTACGCAACAAAGTAAGTCATTAAGTTATAGCATTTATAACTATTCTGCTCTTTCCAAAATATATGCTAAAAATAACATGTTTCTCATTTCCTTTAGGTACTGCGTGAGGGGTATGGATTACGGCAAGAATCCCAGATTCAATGTCGCACTCTACCGGAATCTGTTGGATCACTTAGGCCCAGATGACGTACGTCGTAGCTTTTAACTTTTGTTCATTTTAATTATTTATACATTACTTTTGCGCTTACCTGATTTAAATTTTATCGCAGTTTGTCTGGAGACCATATTTGGGTTTGGGCCATTCTCCAAATCCAGAGGATGCAGCAACTTGGACTGCAAAGACTGCACTCATTCGGTTCAACATTGTGGAGATGCACCACAGCGACCGTGTGAAGATGCAGTTCGGAATGATCCAAGAGATACCAAGTGATCCAACAGATTTGTCCCCCTGGCATCTAAAAAGGGTCGACGCCCAGTGGGGTCTTACCAACTGGAAAGACTTTGCTCCAGAATGGTGTAAAATGTGGCAAAGGCGTCACCGCTACATCTTGCAATCCCCGGTTTTCCTTACTCAAGGTAACATGCGATACACTGATCAATATATGTCGTGGTACAGGTCGGTTAGTAACCCAGATATGCACGTGTCTCATCCGAGGTACTTGGTTGACCCACGCACACAATGGGCACAACCCTCGATTCCCCAACAACAAACCCAAAATCCATCAACCTTAAACCAACCCCCAAGAAGAAACAGACCAACAAACACACAACCACATTCCCCACCACAACACAACTACAATCAAATGCCGTACTACCAACCACAATCACCGCCAAACTACCAATACCTGGATATGCCTCAAACTCAACCACAATACCAACCCCAATACCAGCACAGCCACATACCCCAGACACAATTTCAGTCTTCCATATATCCCAATATGGCGCCCTCAACATCCAGCCTTAGCCCTGATATGGGAATGTCAGAAGATTATGACCAACCCGACCAAACCTACCATCAACCACCATATCACCAAACAACCCAACATCCACAATACCAAACACCCCAAGATCCATTTCCTTTCTACCCCCCATACTTAGACGACCAATGCTACCGACCAACCATGGAACCCCACCCACCGCCAACACGACCAAACTTCGAGGGTATGAGTAACCGACTGTACCAGAGCGGATCTTCGAGATATGGAGATCTTACTGATTTTATGGATTCGGATCGCATTGACTTCGCTGGGCCATCGACCTTGTCGCAGCAGGAAACGAGACGGCACCCAGCAAGAGAAAGGCAAGGACGGGGATGCGGAACTGGGGGTCATTACCGGGTTCTTGGGGATCACTGATGTATCTTGTTTTTTTTCCCAGTATTTTTTGTATCCATTTTTTTACTGTTCTTTAAATGTAAAACAGTTGAATGTAATTTTTTTTTTTAAATAAAAAATCCATTTTGTTGATCTCTGTCTAATAGGCAACGCGCAGGAAAGAAAAAAAAAATTTGCCCTAATTTTGTACATAGGCGCCATCTCACTTGGCTTAGGGCTTGCCCTAAGCACTTAGGCGCCAAGTGAGATGGCGCCTCCCTTAAAAAAAGAGGAGCATGCGCCAATTGAGATGGCTCCTCCTTTGTGGAGCCATCTCAAACATGGTTATTTGCGTAATTTTTTCCGAAACCCAGTTATTTGCGAAATATTATTTTAATACTTGGTTATTAATAAAAAAAATTCCAGAACATTGGTACTATCCAGATTCCAAAACTTAACCTGGTTGTCTGCACCAACATCTAGAAACTGATTTTTTTGCAGTATCAAATTTCACAGTCCCAACAGCTTTGTTTGTAAGTCTAGAATATGTTGGTTTTACTAATCTGTCATTTTCATTCCACTCAACTAAGAAGCTATCTTTGCCTTTACTTATTCGTCAAGAAAACAATTTAAACATCCAAGAGCGAATTACGATTCACATAAAAATATAAATAGAGTTAAACCAAAATAAAAAGTAAAATGTTTATTTTTTTTAATTTTCTTACCTGGTTCCATCAGCAGTATAGATCCGTGTGGTGGAATGTAATGAACTACACCCAAACTCTATAAGTCTATTATAATTAATGGTGGTGAGTCACTATCCTTTATAAGGATCTAGATAATAAGTAATTGACTTATGTCAATATTATAAATAAGTGATTGGTGAATGTAATTATCATCAATGAAATGAATGGAAAAGTTAGTTTTAGAGTGTTAGCATTTTTTAGTGTCATTGTTCTTTATCTCACCATCATAGCCACCACCATATGAAACTTTCTTGGTCCTTCCGTCAAACCTTTCTGATTCATTTACAAAATTTCCAAAAGAATTACAAGATGTTGTTAAAGAAGATAGAGATGAACCAACAATATCATCAAAAGAAGAAGCAGTGACATATTTGTTGAACATCAATATCAAAATTGGAGACAAGAGTTCAGCTTACCTGAAGCCACCATCATTAGATTTTGCCACAAAAAATGACTTAATTTTTCAACTTCCGACGCCGGCACCATCTCCACCACCAAAACCACCTGATTCTCCACCGAAACCGCAATCTTCGCCTCCACTCCCAGTGTCAGCAAACTCTTAAAAACCACATCTCCCGATCACGATCACGGCCACCGCTGGGACCACCAGATATACTTTTAAGAATGAGCAAATTTACCATAACAAGTACAGTGGCGCTTAAACGGTTGTTCTGCTCCAATGTGCTGAAACAATTTCCCATACTAGTTATTTTCCCAACTGCCAAATACTTAGTATTTGAGATGCCAGCTGCCTTCAATTAAAATTTCATCTTTTCAAAAAGATACCAATAAATAAATCTCATAATAAGAATAATATATTAAAACATTAGATATTAAAGATTACTCATCACATAATCTCGAATATAATATAAAATAAAATAAAATATATCAAATATCTCTTAAAATAAAATGAGTTCGAATATTTTCCTGTGTTACATGATCAGAACATGATTCACTATCTAAATACGGATAAACAAAAAACTAGTTCCTCTGACTAATCTATGCGAGAAAGCACCACTACTCTTCAGTACCTGAGCGATGTCATATAAAATATCATTTCAACAGAAGAGTAAGAATTCACATCATTATAGAAATATATAATAGTAAATAATGTATAGCATACATACATCAATTGAATTCATCACACTTCACATAATCATGTACTTGACATATTCCAACACAATTCACATGCTTACATATACAACATTGCTCAACAATCCATAATTCAAGGATAATCAATCACAAATACCATGTAATATTCACAACAATATCACATATTACACACCAATTCAACATTTTATATTGACACATGTGACTACAATGCAACTCAATTCAATATATATTTGGTACCAATTATTATCCGTTTTTACGTTTAAACCGTGTTCATCCCTCAGACAAATAACCACCAAAAAGCACATCCCTCAAGCTTTCGAACCAATCCCCTAGGTTTGAAACAAGTCACTAGCTCTCGCAAAAACTAGCAAAGATTGTCTCTTGACAACAAATGATGCATTTGTAATCTCAACAATCATATGCAATTAAGATCATCCCTCAATCTTAATCATACAAGTATACACCACATTATTCATCATATTTGAGTTCTCATCAGCATTGCATAAACATACATATCTCAAGTCATGAATCATATACAATACATTCTCATAGAATTCATCACTTCAACACACCATAATATCACATAGCAAACAATGTCAATACATGTTATTCACACCTAACATCAATTCATGACATACATGCATATAAATTCAAGTATTATGTTTTCATCAAAAAAGTCATCCAAAACCTATCTGATACACATCGAATAAATTATTAAAAGTCATAGAAATCCTTTATAAGTCATAACCGTACTAAGCGACCTCCACTGTTTCGGACAACATTCTCTCCTCCACGAATTGGGATCACAAAACTCACTTCAATAAGTTATTATCATGTAATTAAATGCATTATAACATATATCCAACATATAGCATCAATTACAAACATCAAAACATGATTCAAACATCAATTTCATGATTTCACATTCAAACCCTAACATGTCAAAATTTAGAAATTGAAGAACAAAGTCCCTAATCATGTTTACTATCCATTACATACATCACATACCACATAATAATGCAAATTACCCACACTTACCTTATGTAGATCATTTCCAGGATTCTTCCTCTTCTTTTCTCTTTTCTCCTTTTTCTTCTATTTTCCTCTTTCTTCTCTTCTCTTGTTTTGACAATTCTCTCTTTGTTTTACAAAATTCTTACTAACTCTTATTTCATTAATAGGCTTAATGTCTCATTCTCACACTAATCCATTACTAAGACCCAATTACTTAATAATGTTATTTTCACAAAACCACATCCAATAACCTAATACACATATAATACATATATTCACAAAATCACACAATTAACTAATTACTATATTAAATATAATTAATAAAATAAATAACAAATAAAATAACTAGTAAATAGTAATCAGGGTATTACACAGGTGGTTGTAATGTATAGAAAGTGAATGAGGATGGTGGTTGAATGGTGTAGGGTGTTATTCTTATTTGGAAGTTGGTGAGATTATTGTGAGTGTTTTGAGTGCCTTCAATGGGAGAGGTTTTATGGTTGATTTAGTTTGTTGAAGATGAAGATGGGAGAAGATTGATGATGGATATGGTTGAGGTGAAAAATGAATTTTGAGCAGAGTTTTTGTTTAATTTTTCAGTGTGTATTTGCTGCTCCTTTGTTCATCAATTGAAGCTCTCTTTTATAGGTTTGGATTGAGTGAAATGAGAGGGAGTTTTAGTGTAGAATTAGGAGGGAAAGTTTGTTAGGATTGAAGTTGATAAATTTGTGACCCATGTAAAAAGATTGGTAATTCAAGTGAAGAATTTGTTTGAGCCATTGAAGCCATCTATAATCTATCTATAATATAATAAAATTAGATGTTGTGGAAATCTCATTTTATCCCTATCTATATTTTTGCCACATCCATAATTTAAGAGTGTTTCTTGTCTAAATTTTGTTTTTTATGACCGAATTTAATGTTAGTTTGAACAACCAAACTGATTATGTACTAATGTAACATTTTTTTGTACTATGTCTATCAAATCAAAATTTCAATCTTTCCTCTGCACCAATCTAAATTTTTTTTACTTGTCTATTTTTTTCTTCAAATGAAACTTGATTTATCCATTCCATCTCAACCATTCACTTTTACAGTCATATCCAATTCTAAAGCACTATTATCTTTTGCATTTGCACGATCTGATATTTCTACTAGCAAATAACTCCAGCATGTGTTTGGAAGATCTTATATGGGCCTATCTTCATAAATAAGTGCTTATGTAGAATGCGGTTTAAACGTTTTTACATAATGCAGAATGCATAAGTTTGCATTCTGAATTAAAACTTATGTAAAAACTGAATGTAATAATTTGAAATAATTTAAAACTGAATGCAGAATATCACAAAATGTAACAATTTTAGACCACAATATGCTTTGTAATATGCTTTGTTAAGAACAAAGTATATTCTTCTATGAATTCTTTGTTAAGAAAATTCTATGTAATATTTATCTACATGTAATATTCTTTGTTAAGAACAAAACATATTCTTTTATGAATTTTTTGTTAAGAAAATTCTATGTAATATTTATCCACATGTAATATTCTTTGTTAAGAACAAAACATATTCTTTTATGAATTTTTTGTTAACAAAACATATTCTTCTAAGAAAATTTTTAAGACTGAATAAGGCTCAATTAATTGTCCATGATTCTCTGTAAGCATATATTTGAATAATTGTTAATTTGAATATGCTTATAATATTAAAGCATTATGTCTTTTTGAATTTGGTTTTTGATCTTGATCCTTGATACTGTGACAAATTATAGTTAAATGTGACTTCAATTGATTTTGTGCAGAAAAAACCGATATGTCGTGGCCTAGATCTTGATTGTAGAACTATATTGAATGATCTAATTCGATACTATTTTTGTAATGTTTAAATGATCTAATTTGTGATTAGACATGACAAAGCTAACGACGGTTGATATTCTGGTGAAAGATTTGAAGATCTTTTCAACATCTAATGGAGATTTAAACAAGGAGATAACACATGTTATTACTCTTAACAACTTTAGTTAAATGTTTGCTTTCATTTTTTTATTATATTATTGACTATGTATTGATTGAAGAGATGTTAAAATTTGGTTGCATTTTGAATATGGATTCAGTTTAAATGCAGGGAGAATTAACAACTATCACAATATTGATGACCGAGCTCAAGAAGTTGAATGACTCACGGTATGAAGATACTAAATTCTAGCCTAAAAAATAAGCTTGTGTTTCATACAATGCAGTCATTGCGGTTGCCTTAGTTAGATAAGCAAAGGTAAATAATGTATTTCTGTTAATAGAATCTCTTACATCATTTGTAGCTTAATTAATCATGTTTATCTTGACTAAACTTTTGTATTTATTCTCTATCAAGTTTGAATGGGAAGCATCAATTATGCAGGTATCAAGTTTGAAAAAAGACTCGCCATCTTGTTAGTTAAATCTGGTAATTTGGTTACGTAAGACAGCGGTCTTACTCGGTGGAAAGTATCTAGTAAAGAATACTTTCTATAAATCATTTCAAGTTGTAATGGAATTAGCGGGTAAGGAATCTAGCTATGTTCTTGAGAGAGAAAGGGAATAAGCATAAATGTATTGCCTCTAGGGGGCTCTATTGGATTTTAATGTATCGGCTAATTGAATAAACACTTTTAAGTATTGGTTTGGATTTTTCGTAGGAAAACCAACAAATTGGTTTTGTTGCACGATTTGCAACAAAGCGGGTTTAAGCTCAAAGTTATTAACTGGGATAATGGAGTTTAGGATACTCGAATGAGGTTCCTCGTTTGAAGGTACAACAAAATTCTTTAATCGTTTTAGATTTTATTCTTCTGCCATTGCTCTCTTAATTTTCCTAAGTAAAAGTCGCGCTCACGCGTATCTTTTTGGTTCTGCTATTGGATCTACTAAGTTTCCGGTGCTGCAAGTTCTTCGCATCTATCAGAAAAGTGTCTTAGTTTAAACGATGTGAAGACAAGGTAACAATAATTGACGAAATTGATCCCCGGCAACAGCGCCAAAAACTTGATCGTGGGCTACTTAGTATATATTTTCTAACTGCATGTGCACAGCCTATCGAGGTAGTTTTAAAAGATTATCGAACCACAGAGACCAATGTCAATTCTAATGCTACTAGTTGCTACAGTATTTATCTAAGACGATTGAAAACGTAATAAGAAAGAGATGAAAGTAAATAAACTTTTAATAGAAGCAGATTAATAACGATGCTGGAAATTTAGTTCACATCAATCATCAATACTCTAGCGGTCTCTATAAAGATCTTCTATCGGGCAATGTTTTCTACTTTGAAAATAATTGATTTAACGGGAACTTTCGCTTTCATCGATTCAGAACCGAGTTTACTCTTTAAATCTACCTGTTCATTTGTCACATATGAACAGTGCGCATTGCGTTAAAGTAGTGAACCTATTTTTAAGAAATCTAACTCTTAACCTAGTTGAAAAGTATTTTTAACTGGATAGTTTAACTTGAAAGGGTTACAGGCTTTCATCTAGATAACCAGATCCTAACCCTATGAATGCGTCCGCAAATAGTTTTGAAACCTCCTTCTAGCAATGT